AATGTCCGAGAAATTTTCATAGAAAATATTCGTCCTCCGAATTCGTTCTATAAAAATTTCTCGGACATTCAGGCCGATAAATGTTGTTTAATACTGTTTATTATAAACAGATCATTTACTTAAATATTTGTATCTATAAAAAGAATGTATAAACATAAAAATGTCTTAAAAATAGTTGTCGGACTTTGTCCATTTCATAATATATATATATATATATTTTATGAATATATTCATGAAATAAATTATAATCGAAATGGATTTTTTAATGATTTTCTTTCTTTATTATATATATATATATATATATATATATATATATATATATATATATATATAATTTTTTTGAATATTTATACATCGCAACAGATGTATCGTGATGGATACATTTAAAAAAATCAATTATAATATTATTCTTGTAAAGAAATGCTAAAGAACTCTTGATTATAAATATGACTGTTCTTTTTATCTTATATATATATATATATATATATATATATATGGAGAGAGATTTAAATATTTTAATCTTTGTCTCTGTTTAAAACAAGTTTTTTTTCTCTTTGAAAATTCTTTAACTTGTCTGTTTAAAGTCTGGCCAACTCCAAGAAATTTCCATTTAAAAGAAATACAGAAATACAGAAATACTTTACTCAATCTTGCTCGTGACAAAAATGATTTTGTTTGTTTATTTCGAAGATAAAAATAAATAATTTTAAATCAAAATCAAAAACAAACGCACGGAATTGCAATAAAACACGTAAGGTAGTTTGTAAAAGTCCAGAGAAAATAACTTAAACAAAAAAGTATTTATTTTTCATCATTGAATGTTACGCTATGACGTGTCCTCTTTTCCAATTTTTTGTTCGTCAACCTTTCAACCATAGTGTGTCTTCTTTCTATTCATAGATTCGAGTGGGCGATCTGCGAGAGAAACCACTTCAATCTGCCGTCGCATATGGCGTCCTTGTGAAAGAGGTGGTCACCCAGGAAGGTGTTATCTACCCCCTCTACCAACACGAAATCCCCTTTACAGTCGACTGCATGGAGGGTGACATGTGCATGATGTGGCCCGTCTTGCTCACCCACAGGATCACCAATTCCAGTCCCTTCTGGCAAATCAAAGAAGCCGATATCAACTCGGAGAAGTTCGAAGTAATTATCTTTCTCGAAGGTAAGAGAATAACTCAAATGTTGAGTGAACATCTAATCGATTTCTAGTCGCTAAGATTTGGTGATATGCAGGTAGCTCATTGGTTGTCATCAAAGAAAATGGGATCAGCAGACCGAGTTCAAATCCCAGTTAAATCTATTGAGTTCACATAACATTCAAGCTCCCAATGGATGCAATATTTTTTTCGTATGGGGGGGGGAGATTCAATGATGTAACGATGGAGTAATGGATAGAAGCTCGGATTGAGAAATCGGAGAGCCGAGTTCGAATTACAGTCGAAATCCATGACTTACGTGCTAATACCCTTGGGAAAGGTATGAATCCTCTTCTTCTCTCCCCAACTATGGGTAAAAAAGCAGGACATACCGGGTTCTATAGCGTTGGGTGGCAACTGGTCTACCGCAGAAAGAAATGGCATCCTACTACAGGAAAAATAATTTGCCTCAGTCATGTGTCGAAAAATACATGATCGCTTAAGCATGTATGACACATGGTACATAACTGACTGACCTTTGCTTCGCACGCACTTTCAAGTCAGAAGCCATTTTGCCAGATGACCACACGTCTGTTATCAGCAACACCGTAAAAAAGATTTTTGGTGTAATGACACTGTAATACCACCGACAGTACTTTCGCCATATATGGACAGGAGCTGCACAGTCTTCACTTTCCAGTCTCGATGCGATCCAAAATCGTCTCCGCAGCCATGTGAGTGATTAATTACACCCTCCCCCTTTTTCTCAAGGATGAAACGTTGCAAGCCTCTCGCTTTTCTATCGCTATTTCCATGGAAAGTGTTCAAGGGAACTACATTCCTTTGTTCCACCAGTTCTGCCTTCACGGTTAAGATCCGATATACCACGCCCATTGTAGCGAACCACCCTCATTCCCTTCTGTATTTCATTGTTGAGACCTAAGTTCCACTCGAGCAGCTTCTTCTCACGAACCGCTGCTGTGGAACCTACTCCCAAAAGGATGCTTCCTCGATCATTACAACCTTAACCTGTTCAAGTCTTGGGTTAACCGTTATCTTACTCACATATCTCCATAAACTGTGCCTCTTACTCTGTAACCCTCTACCTCGAGTGGCTGTTGGGCCTTGTAAAAAATGTATACATATTATGTTAAATATCCGGCACATTAATGATATGGGTGTGTAACAGAATGGTTAAAATGTTAGTGTTCCAGCGATGAAAGCCCGGGTTCGAATCTCACCATAGTCGATTTATCAAGTGACTCCCAAGAGGATGTTACCAATCACTATAGTCTTGGTCTGTTCAAGTCTACAGTCAACAGTTATCTTCCTTACATATTTCTCATAAACTGCATCCCTTACTCTAGTGTCTTTTGGGTTTTGTACAGGGTGAACATTATTGTAAAAAAACATCTCTGGCATAATGGGTTAATTAATTAAGACCTGTCTACTATATGTAATTTTATTTTTACATGTAATTTTACTGTAATTTTATCATTATGATCTACCATACAACTAAAAGAGGAATATTTCTCTTGATTGGCTATACCAGTGGATCTCAACCGGGTCCATATGCAGCCTAGGGGTCCATGTAACATTATTGGGGGTCCACACAAAAAAATAGCAAATTGAGGGTCTATGGCAATATTTTAGTGGCCCATAGAGCAATTTCAATTCGGAGCGGTTGTTACAATTGATAATTGAAATTTCTACAGTAATCTACGCCATATTAAAATACTAAAAATGGAAAGAAAAAAAAACAACTCTAAAACTAGCAGAAAACGAAATCAAACGATGTAAGTCACCCCCGTCCCTTTTTACTTTACCGGGTGAATAAAAACAATGAAGAATATATAAAGAAAGGATAATGTATATAAAGGAAAATTATGTAAACATTATAATTTATTATATAAATTAATTTAATATATTAATAATAAATAATAATATTAATTTTAAATATTAATAAAATAAAATAAAATATTATTATATTAATATAAATTAATTAATATAAAATATATAAAAAAGACCAAATATTAATAATAAAATTGATTTAATACATAAATAGTATAATGATTATATATGGGAAGGATTAACAATATTAATCTCCTCAACAGTATCGACAATTTCCGATAAAAACATCCACTCTGAGAGCCTATATATGTACTAGTGTACGTAAATGTTCCATTGAATTGAGTTGTTAAATAAAGTTTATTTTCATTAAATTAGTTTTACTTAAAAATAAAGCATATACATTTACTATTTCTATAATACAATTCCTAAACTTATCTATTAGTAAAAAAATAAAATAATTTTTTCATCGAATGTTTATGGAGGTCCACCAAACAATAAAGAGTAAAAGTGGTCCATGGGTCAAAAAAGAAGATTGAGAACCTCTGAACTCTGCGGTTATAAAGGCAGTATATTCATCTCTTGTCCTTCAGCTATGAATGAAATAATATAGCAGACTGTGCTCTATAGCCTCAGTAGGACAATTCGACTACGAAAAAAATAACTCTGGATTCAAAACAACAGAGAAAACAACTGGAAATCACTCGGCTAACTTTTTTCGCAAACAGCTCAAAGCGAGAAATCGACGAGTCGAGTTCAAATTCTGGTTGAATTGATTAAATTCACTTTCGCTCAAATAGGCTTGCGAAACATATTCAGCCATAGATCTCCCTACAGTAATGGGTTTAATGGCAGGAGAGACTGGGCACTGTAGCCTTGGTTGGCAAACAGTCTAGGAGTAGGACAATTCAAAATTCAATCCTGATTAAAAATGTTTGGAGACTTCGGGGAAGACTGTGAAGCATTTCTCTGTTATCAGTTCTTCCGAAAAGTCTGGCTGCTTCTACACAACCTTCACCACTATAATCAAATCTCTAGATAGATAGATAGATAGATAGATAGATAGATAGATAGATAGAAAAGGAACAGACATGGTTAGATAGATAGATAGATAGATAGATAGATAGATAGATAGATAGATAGATAGATATAATATGATATGATATGTCCCGGAAAGGGATATATTTGTTCGAAGTAGCAAAGATGTTTTGGACTACTGTGACCAAGTAGGACAATCTAGCAGGTAACCGTAATGGACTCGTCGTCGTCGTAGTGGTAGGCAATAGTCGTAGGCAATAGGCGTAGTCAATAGGCGTCGTCTTGTACCTCCACATCAGTCTGTATTTGTGGCTGACACCAGCCAATCATATTACTGTGACGGGGAACCCAGGTGTATGCATATTCATTACATCAATATATATATATATATATATATATATATATATATATATATATCCAGGTAAAATGAAAACAAATGGAGTATGTTTCCACTGTACGTAAGATTTAATTTAAGAGGGCTCAGTACATAGTAGAGATAAATGTTATTTATTTTAAAATATGAAAACATGTTAAAAATCGCTACACAATTACAATTATGTTACGACACCATAAATGTGTCTCTTCAGGCAATGTTAAACTACTGGCGAGTGAAACATTGATTTGATTTCAAAAAGCAGAATACTTTTAAAAAGTAGACTTGTGGGCTGTGATTAACCAATCGAATGTGACCTACACTAAATTAAAGTTGACCCCAAAAAATTTTTCCGGTGAATTTGAATTTGAGTAAATGCTCTGTTTTCAACAGTTTTATCAACATTTACTGGCCATATATATATATAGTATAGAATATATATATATAGTATATATATATATATATATATATATATATATATATATATATATATATATATATATATATATATATATATATATATATATATATATATATATATAGAATTTAAAATAAATAGCATTTATTTCTACTATGTATTGAGCCTATATATATATATATATATATATATATATATATATATATATATATATATATATATATATATATATATATATCTTTTTTTCTTCACTGGTAGCACGACTCGGAGTTTCATACACAACGCAATCTTCAGGTGCTGAGTTAAGGCTGACCATTACATAATTTACATTTTATTCAATATATCCAGTTATCGCAATGATGTGGCAGTCCATATTTTATATGGAGATTGCTGCTTTTTGAAGATTGCCTTGTGCATGAAACCCCGAGTCGTGCTACAGCTTAAGAACAAAATGTATATATAGTTTATAGCTTTTTTTATATAATTGTCTGGCGAAGGTTTACTAGAATTAAGTACTTATTCTCTGTCATTAACAAAGCGAAATTAATTTTTACAAAATAACAAGGGAGATAATTATATTATAACTGCTGATAGGGAATTTAGCGTTATTTCCCTTGAATTACAAGCCTGGTGGCGTAATAAATTCATTTTAAATATTTTCTGCTTACAGAAAACGTACGTGGATTTAAGTTTTTTTTTTAAGTAAAATAAAATTATTTCACCAGATATTTGCTCTGTTTTTTTATTTTGTTTTTTGTTTAGGTTTTGTCAATTTGCTTTTTTTCTTTCTGTAAAATAAAATAGTGGACTATGTATACTAACCCTGCATATTACCCTTTGTTAACATCGTTGTATAGCTTTTATTTATAAAATAACTCACAGATTTTTATTACATATATTGCTTGGAGAGGCACTCGTCAAACCAGTATCTTAAAATTTCTTTAATTTTTTTAAGGTGTTGTTGAGGCAACGGGAGAAATGTGTCAAGCCCGGACGTCCTACACGCAACAAGAAGTCTTTTGGGGTTACCGTTTTCAGCAATTAATGGAATTTGACCGGGAAAAAAAGCGTTGGTCTGTTGATTTCACCCATTTTGACCAAATTAAAAGTTTCCCAACGCCATTATTGAGTGCTAAAGACATGTCAGCCGTTTTCGAAGGTAAGAAATAAAGGAAGAATACTCCATACATTTTAAAGCCAAAATTGGCGTTTTTGTAAGTTTTTTTTTTAATCATCTCACCCCAAGCCAGGCCATGAAGTCACTAGGATGCAAGGGGTGACTGAGTGTTAGAAAATATGAGAAAAACTTCTATTAAAGGGAGAGGACAATAAAAGAACGAGAATTAAGAAGAGAGAATATAACGATTGATATTACATTTGAATTTTTGAAGATCAA